CCCATCCAGACGTTTGGATCAATTATGAACATGAAAGACTCATTAAGCTTTAGGCTAAATAGCCAAAATGGTCCCTGAGATTTGCATAACTCCTTACTTTGGTCCTTGAGATTTCAAATCAATAGAAGTGGTCCCTGAGATTGTCCACCATCCATCATTTTGGTTCTTCCATTAAAAACTTCGTTAAGTGTCCCAGAGCTCTTGGCTAGAAATTTAGGCAATTTTCAAAGCTTCGTAACTCAATCGTTTCTTAACCAAATTCGATCCATAATATATCAAAATGAAGATAGGAAAGTGTAGAATAAGATTATACCATTTGGAAGCCCAATGGTTTCCGTAGATGGCCGGAAAATAGCCTTAAAGTTGACTGGTCCGAGGGAAAACCGGAAAACTCGCTGGAAACTGGGTAAACTTTAAACGTTCATAACTTCTTCAATACTCAACGAAATCAAGCCATTCAAAAATGAAAATCATATTTATCAATGAGACAAAGAGAATGGTACCTTTTTTGACGGCTAATGCGCCGTAGTTTTTCCGAAAAAGGCTCGAAAGTGGGTAACTTAAGACCAAGATAGCCACTTTTGAGCCATTTTTCGGCCAAACCAAGGTGAATTAGCTATCAAAAAAGGTACCATTCTCTTCATCTCGTCAAGAAGTATGATTTTTGTTTTTGAATCACTTGATTTTGTTGAGTATTGAAGAAGTTATGAATGCTTAAAGTTTACCCAGTTTCCGGCGAGTTTTCCAGTTTTCTCTCGGACCAGTCAACGTTGAGGCTATTTTCTAGCCATATCCAGCAACCATGGGGCTTCCAAATGGTATAATATTATTCTACACTTTCCTATCTTCATTTTGATATATTATGGGTTGAATTTGGTTAAGAAATGATTGAGTTACGAACCTTTGAAAATTGCCCAAACTTTCGGCCAAGAGCTCCGAGACACTTAACAGAGTTCTAAATAGAAGGACCAAAATGATGGATGGTGGACAATCTCAGGGACCACTTCTATTGATTTGAAATCTTTAGGACCAAAGTGATGTGTTAAACAAATCTCAGGGACCATTTTGGCTATTTAGCCTAAGCTTTATAAAAACCCCTCAAAAAACCATGTAACACTTAAGACGTCGTATTCATCCTACGTGAAATTACAATTATTAACGACAAGAAGCATTCCTTAATTTCAGGGTGACATTCCAACATAAATTGCATTCAATTACCAATTACTTATTTAAACATCCTAATGGCCGCGAATCTTTAAGACACAAAGATAGTTTAAAAACAGTGATTAATAATTCAAAGCACGCATGCATAATATCATAAGCAATTAAATAAAGACTACATATTTATGTTAAGACTCAAGACATCGCCCTAGCAAAAGAAATTAGTTACGAACAATCATAAAACAAAATATTATTAAGAACACGGATATAAAACACCTTGTAGGTAAAAAGTCTAAAATTCTCCAAAATAATGCATTTGTAACCCTAATGGCTAAAAAGTCTTATTTATAAGAAAAACTAATGAAAATGGCTTTAAAACTTTGAATGTTAACGAAAAACCAAGTGATAAGTTTATTTAATAGTTATGACAAAGCCTAACATCAAATCAGGACTAGCCCAAGGAATATAATTTATTAAGCTTCCAATTTTAACCCTGACGTCAAGTCTTGCCGTTTATTTGGTCTGTTTCACTTCAGATGGAGAGGGGAAGGTCTGTAGATCTCTGATCATTTATAAGAAAAACTAATGAAAATGGCTTTAAAACTTTGAATGTTAACAAAAAACCAAGTGATAAGTTTATTTAATAGTTAGAGCAGTTACAGCGTGGGAACCCTCCCTCCAGGCAATACACTATGCTATCCACCCAGTGAACAGTAATTGCCTTTAATGAACAGTAATCGCCTTTTGCATCTCCACTGTTGCACTTCAATAGCCCTAGCAATAGGCAATAAAATATTAGTATTTTATTTATTTATAAGATAATGCAAAATAATTTTATTTGTAATTTCAGATAAGATTTTTAATCGTTCTCGTTGCGCCACTTGTCATTTTCCGAAAATTTATAAAATAATACAAAATAATTGTGGTGTAATTTCGGATAAGATTTTTAATCGTTCTCGTTGCGCCACTTGTCATAAAATCCGAAAAGACAATCATTGGTGATGAATTTCTGATAAGATTTTTAATTGTACTCGTTGCGCCACGTGTCATGATCCGAAAATACAATTATTGGTGATGGATTTCCGATAAGATTATTAACCAATCATGTCTCGCCACTTGTCATAATCTGTTTACAATCTTTGAGGATAGATTTCCATCAGATTTTTAACGAATGACGGCATGCCACGTGGCATTATCCACAACTAAATCCTTTCTGAATCCTCCATATAATCCACCATCCATCCTCACAAATCTCACACCAATTTTCTCAAGATCTCTATCATTATTCATAGTTTATGCTTCCTTGTTCACCAAAATCTCTATCATTATTCATAGTTTCTACTTTTTTCTTACAATGTCTTCTTCTTCCTCAAGGATGATGTGGGACCTGGATGAGCAAGATGAAGGATTGTTTAACCAATCAGAAGGAATGTTCAATCTCCAGGTGGCCCATGAGAAGGAAGAAGATGAGGAGCGTAGAAGGAGAGACGATGAAGCAAGAATGGCATGAGCCTCACATTCCCGTTGAGTCATCCAAGCTGTGGGTCAGATCTGCAGGCCCAGCCGTTCCGGAAACCTTGATAGAAGCAGGCAACAACAAGGTACGGAACTCTTGGACAATTATTTTGTCCGTAATAGTGCATTCCTTATTTTATCACATCAGAAAAATGGAGGGGGTAGGATTTCTAGCTATTTGCTTTGCTTGGACTTTATGGCTATGTTTGCTACACCGCATTAGTTTGCCGAATTGAGCTATTATGAGTTAGTCTAAGTTGTATCAAACAGGGTGCTATTTAGCAATCTCACTAAGTGGGACTAGTGCCTCACCTAGTCTCCTTATCTTGACCTTGTTAAAATGAGGGCTTGAACTAGAACCAACCTAAGCGAACACGCCCTATAGGTTTTTTAAATAAAATAGAGCTTACTGTTTATAAAATAGTGTCGAATTACCCATTCTTTTTTGTTTCACTTGATGCACTTTTTTTTTGTTGGCTATGAAAATGGATAGGTAGTTCCTCTTGTTTTGAAATTAAGGATGTTGGTAACCTACTTATTACTTTGGCTGCTAATTGATTAGTTTCAAATGCAAGAAACGATTAGTTTCTAATGTTATAATTTTATGGTTCAAAATGTGTATAGATGTCACAGTTGATCACTCGTCATCGGAGTGTGACCAATGAGCTTCCCGCATTATTAGCATCTACTGCTTTAGGTCGAACACCGTAAAGGTCGATGTGTTGAAGGAGGAAGTGACAACCCTAAAGGGTCAGCTTGCGGTCCAGGGCCAGCAGATGAGGGCCCAAGGCGAGGAGTTGAAGGCCTGTGTTGGGCACATGAAAGACCTTGTACGAGCCATACAAATGATCGGCATCCAAATCTCGCTACCAGTACCTGATCTTGCTCCACCTTCGACCTCCGAGCCATTTCACTTAGAAGACTACTTGTAATTTTTTCTTTTTTGTTCGGACATCTTGTATGTACATTTTCATATATTTTATAATTAAATACTTTTCTTTGGTTAATTAATTATTGTTTAGAATTTAATTACAATATTATTAAAAATTAAAAAAAAATATTTTTGACCAAAACCAAAAAGTGATCTAATCCATTTTGCGCGACGTAGGTTGCGTCATGCAAACTTTGTGCGACTCAGCCTACGTCGCGCAAAGGGTCTTTGCCCGACATAGGTATCTTATTCGTCGTGCAAACCTTTTTGTCAATGCCTTGGCGCGACAGTTAGCGCGTGACCAAGGTCCGTTGTGCAAAGTTTTGCGCGACGTTTTTTGACTTTGAGTTACGAAGGACCTGCGTCGCGCAAAGTGTTTTTTGTATTAGTGCGAAACAAGTTCAAAGAAGTTTAATGGCAGAAACCGGCGAAAAAAGTGTCTGGAAAAAAAAAACAAAAAAAAAAAACCAAAACATAAAACTGTTTCTGGAGAACCCAAAACATAACACTGTTTCAGGAAAAAAAAAATCAGATACAATGTTTGTTTTGTCTGTGCATAAACAATCACTATATTTGGAAAGAAAAGAACCAAAATTCAGAAACAGTGACTTAAATTTCAGAAACAATGACTTATATTCCAGAAACAATCTATATTTTAACTTTCGACTGTTTCTTTTCTTTCATGCATCAGTTGATTATATTTAAGAAACATGATGCTTATTTTGCTTTGAATCCAAATACGGTGAATTTCATTATTTCTTTTCTAGCTTACATTTAAGAAACAATGTGTATTTCATTTGGATCCAGAAACAGTGACCTAGATTCCATAAACGGTAACTTAGATTCCAGAAACAGTTTATTTTTACAGTCCAGAAACAGTGACCCGTCGTTATTATTGAATAGCATGTAGATGTCAAATTTATTTTCTGGAGAAACAAACGATGAACTCCACTAACAAAGAAAATATGAAAAACAGTACCTCGAATACACTATGAATAATAGCAACGATCACATTTCAACGAAATAATAGAAAATATAAATTAGATAGCATAAGGATCCATATTTTTGTTTCAAAGAAAAAGAAGAAAGTCTGCAAAACAACGATGAACTCCATTAATGAAGAAAATATGGAACTCAACCTAAAAAAGTTAGGGGTAAAATCAACAAATCATAATTTATTATAGGTAGGCCATTTTTAGTTGGACTACTATAATATAGGCCTTGTTCTAATCATTAAACAAAACTTATAACATGGTTTTTGATTAAAACTAAAACTTTTCAAGCCCTTTTTATTAATTTTTTTTTTAACTGTTTAGTTTTTAGTTTTGTCTAATTTTTGTGGTCTGCTTTATAGGGTTTCGTTATCTTTCATTACAGTGGACGGATACCTGAAGTAGCTTTGATGGCACGATCTTACCTACCAAGCAAGGTTTCAGAGATAGTTTCAATTTGGAGAAATGACCTGAACAAGGTTAGACTTTTGCAGTGTTTTTCTTGATTCATGAACACGACGCTTTTCTGTCAAGTGAAATGTATATATGAGATGTAGAAGTCATACCAAAGGAAAATTGTTATGTCTTCTACTTTATCGACCAATTGAATTGAAACAAGGAAAGATTTTTGCATATATTTGGCTATTCCAAGTATTTTTAATTTTGTACTTTTAATTTACAATATGGCAGGTCAATAAAAAAGCTGCAGAATCATTGGCCGATCCGCAAGTGTGTCCTAATTTGTTTGAGGACTGGTAGGTTTCTCTTGCCCTTGAGTCTAAAGATGCAAAAAATAGGTGTCCACCCTTCATTTCACTGTTCAGCATCAGGGCCATGAAAAAATCTACTTTTTAGCGCTGCGGTAGATATGACCATAATTACTGACTAGCAAGAAATTTTGCTTATTTGTTGGATGATTGTGGATTGCTTTGTTGTCTTTTGCAGGGGCATTCATCCTCCTGTTGACGTAAGATATGAACGAACATTCGTCTTTCTATTTTTTTGGGCTTTTTCTAACCCATAAATTTCTTTTGAGTCGACCAAATAGTCCCAGCTTGCAACTTATGTTGTGTGGTATTATTGTCTGAAAAATTAAGTATGCATGTATATTTTATGTGTGTGCGCGTGCACACCTCCGCATGTTGTTAATCTCTGTGGGTCATCTATATATATATATATATATATATATATATATGTAGACATATCTCTGTGTGTGTGGAATGCAACATATCGGATTTAGGTTATACTGTGCATAGTTTTATTGTCTGTTGTTATCTGCGCTATGCCATTTCTATGCAGACTCTGAAATTTATTCATGAGCTTTATAAGCACTTTCCATAATTTAAGCTGTCTGTTTTGGGTTCTTTTTCATTAGGTCATTAGCTACTGAATGATGGAGAAATGAGTACCATGCCACTTATTTTGGGTTCTTTTAATAATTTTCTGATTTTGGCGTTTTGCAAGTAGTGTTGATGTACTGATTTTCTGGGATTTTTTTTGTCCTTGCAGGATTTTTGGTCTTTGAAATGGGTACATGTTGTTTTTAACGTTTTGGTTATTGTGTGTTCCGCTCTTCGTTGCTTCGTGATTCTGATTTTTCAGTGTTGGGTAATGGAGATTTGTAAAAATAGTCGTAGTTTTTTGAGAAAGTTGGCATTTTTAGTTATATTTTCTGTTTAATCCCAACTGTGAGATTGGAAAATAATTGAAATGATGGTTTTTTTAATAAAAACTCCACTCAATTTTTTTTCTGGGATTTAAAAGAATCTTTTCCCGATTGATTACAAGGGTTATGTTCTCTATAATTGGTTCACCTAATTTTGATTAGTTTTAAGTTTTGTCCTTTAAGTTTTGTCTTCTGTGCTATAATGAGAGATTTCTGTTGGCCTTTCGGATTTCGGCATGGGAATGTTCACTTATTTGTCTAATTAGATTGCGTATGGCTTCAATTCTTTATTTAATTGTTCTGTTTGTGTTTGGGTGTGATGATCTAAATTTTATATGTTTGGAATTATTCACTTAACACCAATTTGTTACATTCAGGTCTCCACCCCACATTTCACAAGTTCAAATTCCATAGAAGTCGGTTCTGCAGATTGTGTCTGCAATTAGATCAGAGATCAACTGCTCTTTTGTTATCATGCGGAAGATTGCTTTTGGGAAGGATCTGAAGCAATTCTTCTCTGTATGTTTACTCTCTGCATGTTTATTGCCATATAGCTCTGTCTTTTCTAATTGATGGTGTTCATGTTACACTGCGATTCATGATGATGATTTAATTGTTTCTCGACTTGTAATTGTTTGTAAATAATGTGGCATATTTGAATTGCAATTCGTGTTTATATGAAAGGGATGGCATATCATGTTGCTGACTTAATTGTTTATGTTTTTCATATTTGCAATGGTGTTATGATCGATTAGGTGATTGCTGACCTGTGACTTTGTTTGGAGCTCAAATTTTGTGAGCCTTACATTGGATTGTATTGCACTTGGTTTGATGTTATTTTGGTCGACAATGTAGGGATTGGAGAAACAAAGAGGATGACACTTATAATTGCCCCTCCCCATCGGCCTTCTTCAAATTTGGATCACAAGAAGGGAGCAACATAGGTATTGATCATGGTGTTTCCTTGTTAATTTGGAAATGGTTAATGTAAATAATTGGACAAAAGAGCCAAACGAACCCTTTTCTCTCAAATCGAGACGATGATGTGGTCGACGGCCACCAGCCCCAACTCAAGAGTTTGGCCTTCTGTATAATCGGATTATAGGATAATTTTATTTTAGTCCATTTCTTTTTTTCCTTTATATAAGTGCAGATGTTGTGATGTTTTGAATGAAGGGTGGTTCACACAATTCCTCCTTAGAGCAAGTGGAGATGACCGTGTGTATAAAAAGAAAAACTTACCAGGTACTTCAATTTTCTATTTTATTAATTATTGTCTGGTTTGAAATGTTGTATTGAGAGAGAGAGAGACCAACTGTCCTTGAGAAACAAGTTTACATTGTGAGAATTTGCAGTTTGCAACTTTGATTGGTTATTATATTTGATTGAGTTAAACTTGGATTTATGGATTTTGACATTTTCGTTTGTTTCTCTGTTGCAAAGTTGGCTTCATTTCACTCCAGTAACTCTCTAAATAGGTCCAAGAACTCACTAAATAGGTAGTCAAAAAGAATTCATTGTTGCCTTCCTTTTTTGCCTGCTGTTTACTCTCTTCCTGGTTGCACTCTCACTGGTTCTGTTGCTCACCACTTCATCTCTTCTGTTGCTTACAATCATCACAAAAAAACTCGAACCCTCAAACCAACATATTCATTTCTACAGTTTCTCTCACAATTAATCTAACCTTGAAACCAACAAATTGCAGAAATCCTCAACTGTTGGATTCTGTTGAGATGGGCAGAATTTGAGTGGTGTCTTCATCGTCGACCGACACCTGGACTGCAACATCATCTTCACTCACCCCAGCGTCAGCAAATTCCACCTCCAAATCCTCTCCGATCCTTATTCCGCAAAGCTCTCCCTCTGATTTGTCATCAGGTAAGATTTTGGGGTTTTTGTTTGGCATTTGATTCAAGTTTTCTTTGCATGAAATAAGAAAACAACCTCAAGCCACTACAAAAAAAATGAGCACTGCACACAAAAAATTATATGTGCCTTTTGAGGCCAAAAAGCACCAACATTTGTGCTCATAGACCAATAGCAACAGTGCAGCAACTAAGTTTGTATCTGTGCCCTCTATGGGCGTCACCATTACTTATAGCACACAATATGATGTTTTCTGCCCAAAGCTAAGCACAAATACAACCCTTATTGCGTCATACCTCTAATAAAGGCTACTGAATGTATGGTGTAAGATGGGCACAATTGCTATTTTAAAGGCTTAGATTGCTGTATAAATGTTAAAGCAAGGGCACAACTTTAAAATTGTGCCACTATTATATTTTAATAAATACAATAAAACTCCAGCACAATTAAAAATTTGTGGCATAATTGGATATTTTTATTTAAACATGGAAATCATCAGGTTGCTCATAGAACCTAATTTCCACCTAAATTTAGAAACTTACAAATCATCCATTACAAACTAAACATAAATCAACATTAGCACTAAAATAGTGAAGTTAATATATTACATAACCCATGTTCTCGGCTAAGACCGATTCATGCAACCTAACAATACAACCCATCCAAATGTTAAACCAAAAAATACATGTTATCCTATGCTGGACATACCCGGGATTCTCTATATACAACAAAATATAACATATCCAAGCTTGTATCCCCAAGTCAAACGTACTAATGGTTAAACTAGCAATATATAAACAAAATACACATCTACAAGGGCTGCTTAATGACAACTAACCAGTATTCTCACTTTGGCAGTCCTCATGCATCATAGCACTAGAAATTGGAGGTCCACACTGCACATTCTTGTCATTTCCACCTTCGAAACGCGTTGAAATCTGAGCGTGTGAGCTTCCACACCCTTGCTGCTGATATATATATCTTAGAATGACATTCCACCCCCTCCTGCCAATATCCTTTTAGAATGACATTCCTACCCATTTGCAAAACAAATTACAAACAAATCATAAGAGTATTTTCATTCAGAAAACCTGACTTCTAAACATGTCAATGTCCAAAATTCTCCCATTTTCAACATGCATTTTTCAAGAAGAGACATACACTGGCACACATACAATGAAAATCATATGAAAAAAAGAGCCAAGAAATCACATAAAAGTATCAATCTTTGAAATTTTATTTTCCTTTCCCCCATCACAGCCAAAAAATAAAGGGTAAGTCTACAAATATCAATTTTCATGCCACAAATTTGTGATACATTACAATCTAAAATCACACACATACATCATGCATATACATACATCAGAGGAAAGGAAGCAAATATTTTCAACAAACGCGATGTAATTCCTTACCTGAGAAAGGTTTGGCCCGGTGATGTGTACTATCCAAACTTTGCACATCCAGAAAGTGAAAAATATGACCTACCAAGGAAATCAGAGCATGCATGTGTTAGGTTTATCATTTGTCTGTCAAACTGTGCAGTAGAGACCAAAATCAAAGATATTGGTGTGTTTTACCTTTGAATTTTCCAGTTTCCAGACTGATTTGCAGTGGCGGACTGCATACGAAGTTGCAGGCCTCCTTGATTTTCTTTTGCTTAGCAGGAGAAAATGAGGCTCTGGGTTTATTGGGGAGATGATCGAAGCCTATGGAAAACTTATACAACTACAAAATGGAAAATTTAAGAATAACAAACAGTATTAGGCATAAAAACAGACTAAAATGTAGAATCAATCCAGAAACTGGTAATGCCTTATTCAAGGGTTAAAAGGGGAGTTAAACTGATTGAAATACAAAGTTTAACAATAAAACTGCACCCCGTGGAGAAACAACATAATTCACTAACCTTGATAAAGTCAGAAGTATCCGCATCCTGCCTGTCTGAATTCCTGAAAAAAGCATGAAATTTTGAAGCATTACAAAGTGTGCCTTTTAAAACTTGGACACAGGGCCTTCTTCTTCTTTCGGAAATTATCAAAACTAATCAAATTGTGGAATTCCAACCGTTAAAATGACATACCTAACTGATGAAACTTCAGCAGTTAGAAGATCACAGCAGCAAATGCATCAAAGGAACAAAAAACTATATGAAAATTACAGAACCTAGATGAAAGGAAAACCAAAAAGCATCAATAAAATGAGAAACAGAAGAACTCACCTAATAATTAGAGTCCCAAGAAAGCAGCAGGTTGATTTGATATGCCAAACTGCACTGCTTTTATATATCAATGTTTGAAACAATCTTTCAAATTTCTAAAAAAAATAATAATACTTTGAAATAATGAACAGAATCTCCCTTTTGGTCCAAAAGAGAGAAACAAATAATAAAAGAACAAAACCCAGAACCCTTTAAAGCCAATTATATGTGGGGGTGGGGTTGCGGGATCACAAAAAGTCCAAATTTTTTTTGCTATAGACAACGACAAAGATGGGATGCGCGCCCCGCCGGGGGGGGGGGGTGGTGGGGTGTGTGTGGGTTGGTGTGGTGTGGGAGAGAGGGAATAGACACAGCCTCTCTGCCCCTTGAAATCTGAAATCCCCACCCAAAAAACCACGCACGGGCCTTCCTGATGTGAACGGTGGAGTAAGACGACATAGGCGAGAGAAGGGATCAGCGAGGGATCTGTGGGAAATTACAAAGTGAGAAAATTTTTCTTGGGATTTTTATTGTGTCATTCGAGTAGCTAAAAGAGGACTATAACAGTCAACTATAGTGAAAGAATAATTAAGGGCAAGCTGATTGTATGATTAGAGAAATCTCAAACCTTCCATAAAAAAATCAAAGCGAAAACCAGAGAACCGTGCGGATAGGAAGAGATTGATACCTTACCGGACGTTGGGGGTAGCCCAAGTTGACTGAAATCGACGAAACCTTGCTCGACCTCTCTCTCTCTGTCCACATGAGAAAACCACATCACCCAAAAGGTCAGAGATTTCCAAAACCAAAAGGAAATTAAGAGAGAGAAACAGAGGGGAGAGAGAGAGAGAGAGAGAGAGAGATAGGAGTACCGTTAGTTAAAGCGTGGACGGCTCCGGTTCTCCGACCACTGTAATCCCTGAAGATCTCTTCCGCCCGCCGACTCGAATCCATCTCCCTGCACTTCTCCTTCATCCCACCGAAGCTCTCGAGTTACAAAAATGAAGCCGAGCTTGTGTGGTTTTGGTTTTAGGAAGCAGGTGCTGATGCTATTCCAGAGATGGTGTTGTAGCTGCTAGGGTTTGAGAAAGTGAAAACGAAGCCAGAAAGTTGGCCAAAAGCACCCGAGTGGCAATCTTGTAAATAAACTGAAATGTCTTACAAAACACTGTTCATATGAATAGTGCGATTTCCCCTCCTACTTTAGACTAAAGTAATAATGTCTCATAACCTTTGTGTTGCCACGTTGTGAATTCACTGAATTCTGCGGTATGAAGCGGACGAGAAACATAATTATAACCTAAAAAAATATATACTAGGAGTAAATCTACAAGGGCTAATTAGAAAGAAAACATTATTATATTGGAATACGACATAAGTTGATAAAAGGACCCAAGAGGAGTCCAGCATAGCATAAGATAGTTATATTTTCATAGTACACCAGTGAAATATAACATAATACAAAATATATTAATTGTCCTCGTCATCGCTGCTTAAAATCTCAATGGTAACATTCTGCATATTTCGTGAGCTCAACTGTGGGACAGACAGACCTCTAGGACGAATTTGTGCTTGATAAGTGCGTGGTTCTTCAATAATAACGACAGAATTGGTAGACTGTTCAGTTGTTGTTTCAGCAGAAACCAAATTGACAGGATATTGTTCTGTCCTACCTGGGTTTGCCCATGCTGGCAATACACGTCCTTGAGGTGCGCGTACGCATCCGTTATTGAAGGGTAATGCGTAGCCAAGGCGACCATCAACAAAAGTAGTAAGAATGTACTGATTATTAAAAGGACGAGGCATGCGCCCGGCATTAACAGGTTGTCGTGGACGTTGAACTGGAGGATTCGTTGTGGAATTTTCTGTTGTAATGTTGGAAGCAATATACGAATGTGATGCTGGAGATTCAGTTCCAATTCTAACTCCACGACGTCGCCTGTCCGCCATTGTCAATGATGTAGAACTTGCTCAAATTCAAAAGAAACATATGTGTATGAAGCAACCTTCTTAATTTCCATATACAAATTAGTAAGGGAGTGTGTGGACGTTTTATAGTAGAATAAAGGCACAAATCCATAATTGTGCCAACATATTCTTTTGCTATAGAGTATTTATTATTTATTAATATTTACTGGACACAATTTCTAACATTTGTGTCAGAAAAAAGGAATTTATAATTATTAAAATATATTCTCTATTTGAAGACCCAATGAGAAGTAGAGTGATTTATTATTTATTAATATTTAGTGGACACAATTTCTATCATTAGTGTCATAAAAAGGAATCTACAATTATTAACTCATTTGTCTATCTGAAGACCAACTAACTTTTGCACAGAGACCAACCCTAAGGGCACAATTGTTGGTTATGTGTCACTGCAGGTAGGACTTTAAAACCAAAAACCATATCACCAAGTATAAAAAACAAACCTGCAAGAAGATAACAATCCAAAAAGCAATTCAAAAAGATACGAATCTAACAAACATTCATTGCACCTGGAAATGATCCTTTGTAAATCTAAAACATGCCACTTAGTACTATGGTGTAGTGGTATTCTTCTTTACTTGTAAGTGAGAGATCTGAGGTTCAGCTTTCGGGAAAAACAAATTTGAACAACATTATTGCTAACTTATTTTGAGGCTAAAATATTGCACGGTAATAAACAGCTTCATACCATTATTTACCACAATTTTATAAATTTTAATTATTGGTGTGCTAGTGGAGGTAAAGACAAACGAGAGAGAACATATAGTGCCTTTGACAAATAATTTTTATAGACACAAAATATTTTTTGTGCCCATTTTCAGTAAAAAAGTTGTCATGTGATCCCACTCGACACGATTTCCGTGCCCATTACTGTATTGTGTCTGCTTTTTTTAACATTGGGCACAATAGATGGTGCCCTCTATGGAATGGGAATTGTTTAAGCTTTTTGGTGGTCAAACTGACACAAAATTCTCAATTGTGCCCTTTATTTTGTACCCAAAGCTCATTTTTCTTGTAGTGAGCCCTCAAACCAATAAATCAAATTCTACAAGTTCTCTCACTCGTAAGTCTTAATCTAACCCTAAAACCAACATAACAATTTCGAAATCTCCTCAGAGTTTTCCAACAATTCCGGTCAGGTTGGCGTTGATGTTGGTCTTAAACTATTCCTCAGCACGTCAGGTGCCTTCTATTTCATGTAAGATCTGCTTCAAATTTTTTATTTAATATAATTGGGTTTTAGTTATTTTTTCGTAGGTTTTCTAGGGTTTGTGTAAATTCTCATCTGATCGATGATTTTTTTGTTATCATGGGCTGAAAAGTGTGTAATAGGGTTATGAGGTAGAAGACTGTTTGGGGATGGTGGTGAGTTCTCTGAGTATGACTGGGATGTTGAGAAATTGGAGCTCTTCTGGGGCCATATCCATTTGGATTTGCAGGGTCTGATTGGAGGAAAAGAAACGAAAAAAATTTTGGGTTTTGGATTGATGTGATGTTTGATTTTATTTAATTTTTGTTCCTGCATGTTCGGGTTTTTTTTATTTTTTATTTTTTATTTTTGCATGTTTTAATTTTTGAATTAACACTATTTGTTTTGTGAATTGCCGGTTTATAGTGTTTGCTTGATAAAGACGGAGAATAGTACTGTCCAAATGAATAGGAAGACCTCGAAAACTTGTTGATGTGTTGCTTTCCTTAATGTATAAAGACGGAAAAAAGGGGCAAGTTGCGAAAAGGCCAAAAAAAAAAAAAAGAAAAAAAAAACAGAGATTGGTACATTTCATGCATTCGAGTCATCAAGTTTTATAATGTATATACATGTATTTTCCATTTGGTGAATTCCAAAAAATAAGAGCGTTTCTGTACACTATTACTCTTTATAGGTAGGCAAAAATGAAAGCGTCTCTGTATACTATTACTCTTTTGTATGCAGGACAAGTGGAGATGGCAATTGTTGTGGTTCATACAATTCCTCCTTTTTATTTAGAGCAAGTGGAGATGGCTGTTTGAATAAAAAGAAGAATTTGGCCAGGTAATTCAGCTTTCCAATAACTGGCATTTGGTTATTTAAATGTTTATGCAGAGAGATAGATGAGTTATGTACTCTGATTTCCTTACATTCTCACTAAATGTTATCCAATTTAAAATTGTCTCTCACATGAAAGTTTGAGTTTGACAAGATGTGTTTTTAAAATTGTAGTGTCATGTTGGCATTATTGCTTATTTATGAATGCAAGTCTATTTCACATCTATCTAATATCTTTACCTTTGATCTTCACATTATTCAGTGTTCACTAATGCCTTTGATTGTTCTCTGTTTTACATCTAACTGATGACACCACTTCTACTACACAAGCTCCAGAGAAAAATGTATAAGCTTTTGACTCAAATTCCAACTATGCCTTATCACTCTGAATATCAAAGCAACCCCAAGCAATTCTGGAATAATTTTTACGAGTAAAACAATACATTATGTATAACTTAAGCTCAAATTATTCATTTCACAAACATTCGCATCAAATCCTTAGTTTTTTATTGCTCAAAGTTCCATACCACTCAATGTTTACCAACACTTTTCATTTTCCACTATTTAACATCTATATACCAATCATTTTCCCAATCGCTGGGTGTACGTAAATAGCAAAAGAAATATCAAACGCAATATCGTAAAAAGAAGTTGTCTTCTGTGTTACTAAGGTGTTTTGGTTCAATTGAGTTACGAGGGACCGATCTTGATTCTTCACTATATGCCTGAAATTTTCAAAAAAAACTACTTGGGAGCTCAAGTTTGAATTTTTTTTGCTATTTAGTAGCCAATTTGTAGCACAGTGGAAATATGTGGAATGATGTTTTTGCCTTTCAATTCTAATTGGCAATCTGCTGCCAATTTAAACCTTTTCAGAGCGTTCGCCACGGGAGGTTATGCAGCTGTGCAGAGTCACACAGTGGAACTTGGATTACACAAAGCACAGCAAGCAGGTTGATAGGTATATTTTCTCACTTTTACCATTTTTAGAATTTAGATTAGTGATAAATTAATTCGAATCATGTGGCGTGATATTTCCACTCTGTTACAGACCATGGTTATGATAAATTAATTCGAATCATGCGGCATGATATTTCCATAATTAGCCACCTTTGTTATGGTTTTGTTGATCATACTCAAGGGAGACGTTTCTACTTTTTATTTTCTTCTCATAGGGTTTATATTCTGCGAAGTGATATTTTACCTATTTATATGTATCTATTTGTCATCTATTTTTTTTAATGTAAATTCACTATAAGAGATTAATGAAATTAACTGATAAGAATATGAAATTGAGAAGTCGCTTCTCTAAAACCATTTTTTTTTTTAATTTACCATCAGCTATCTCTCTCTCTGCAATAAACCGTTACACAAATTTGTTGGCAATGTGTGCTACTTCCCATCTAATCTGCATTGACATAACAAAATTTTGGTTCTTTTGAATTAATGATTGTTTCAGGGGAATCAATTCTTGTGTACACCTTAAACTTCCAATGGTGTTGTGTGCATTTTTATCAACAATAAAAAGCTTTTTCTTTGTATTGCAAACAAGTCTTCTTATAATTAAAATATTTGAAATCCCTGGTCTGTAATCCTCTTGATTCATGGTTTTAACGCCTCCTGATGAAATAACTACAACCTCATCACTTCTGTCATCAGATAAGACTTAAACGTTCTACCCATTGTTGAGTTTCTTTAACGAGTTTCACCCATTTGTCATAAAATTAGATGAGATGACTTCATACCTTCTTAGAGTGTTGTCGATATATGATATGATATTTGATTCTTTTTCTTTTTTTCCCACGAGTGTCAATTTGTATTTGAAACAATATGTAATAAACTTACCAGGTCATCATCGCTATCATACTTTTACAGGTTTTGTTTTAAGGTTCTGATTGGTAAAGCAAAAGCTCCTACCAATTTAGCGGAGTGGACAAAAAATTCGGGCCTTTTATTAATGACATATCATAGGCCACTTTAAAGGTAAATCCAGATATATCGCTATGCAATTTAGTTTTTACTTTTAGCATGTTCCGAGTGACCTTTGAATTTACATGTTTCGTTGTTTTCGTTATACTATTCTGGTAGGTATGTGCGTAGGCCTGGCAAACGGGTCGTGTCTATCGTGTTCGTGTCGTTTTCGTGTAGCACCTGTTATCTTAACGGGTCGTGTCGTATCACACCCGTTATCTTAACGGGTCCTTAACAGGTCGTGTCACTTTACCCAACGGGTAAAGTGACCCGACCCGTTATGACCCGTTAAGAAAAAAAAAAAAATTTTAAATTTGCACATACCACACATTGCCACATAAATATTACTTCAAAACATTAAAACATTTCTCGTTCAAGTACTATATCTACACTCGAAAATAAAAGCCTAATAAAAAAAAGAATACATACACAACTAATATATTACAAATATTAAATGTGTAAGGATAAAGAGTTTTTGTTTTTAAGATTGTAAGTCTTTCTCAAAAGTTTACACCTCCATTTACAAAATCTTCAATTTACATCAATCATCATGAAATTGTATTCAATTTACACCTACATCTATATAATTATTATAGTTTTTACTTTTTAGGGATATAAAATTATTAAATTAATGTATATAATTATTAATATTATAGTTGATTTATACTTTTATTAAGTATATAAATTATAACATAAGATTTTGTGATATCCACATCCACTAGTGTAAATATTTTAAATTGAAGATCAAATTCATTCTTTGTATTCATATAGGGTCAAGGAGTGTAGCTGTAAAAATTCATCAAAATCAGAGTTAAAATAACCGTTAAATCTTGATTTTTCGTTTATAACCGTCGAAAAGCTTTGTCCCGTTACTTGATTTCTGAATTTTTTTTTTTGTGATTTTTTGCTGATGTGATCTCCAAGCATATACAAACAATTTTGACGGTTTGGATCGTTGAAATTAGTTTTGGAGAATTCGTAAAACGATAGATTGACTAACACTTAGAGTTTATTTTTACTTTCATTAAGTATAACATAAGATTTTGTGGTATCCACTTGTGTAAATATTTTAAATTGAAGATCAAATTCATTCATTGTATTTATATAGGGTCAAGGAGTGTAGTTATAAAACATCATCAAAATCGGAGTTAAAATAACCGTTAAATCGTGATTTTTCGTTTATAACCGTTGAAAAGCTTTGTCCCGTTACTTGATCTCTGAATGTTTTTTTTTGTGATTTTTTGCTGATGTGATCTCCAAGCATATACAAACAATTTTGACGGTTTGGATCGTTGAAATTAGTTTTGGAGAATTCGTAAAACGATAGATTGACTAACAATTAGAGTTTATTTATACTTTCATTAAGTATAACATAAGATTTTGTGGTATCCACTTGTGTAAATATTTTAAATTGAAGATCGAATTCATTCATTGTATTCATATAGGGTCAAGGAGTGTAGTTATAAAAAATCATCAAAATCGGAGTTAAAATAACCGTTAAATCGTGATTTTTCGTTTATAACCGTTGAAAAGCTTTGTCCCGTTACTTGATCTCTGAATGTTTTTTTTTTTGTGATTTTTTTTTGATGTGATCTCCAAGCATATTCAAACAATTTTGACGGTTTGGATCGTTGAAATTAGTTTTGGAGAATTCGTAAAACGATAGATTGACTAACACTTAGAGTTTATTTATACTTTTATTAAGTATAACATAAGATTTTTGTGGTATCCACTTGTGTAAATATTTTAAATTGAAGATCGAATTCATTCATTATATTCATATAGGGTCAAGGAGTGTAGTTATAAAAAATCATCAAAATCGGAGTTAAAATAACCGTTAAATCGTGATTTTTTGTTTATAACCGTTGAAAAGCTTTGTCCCGTTACTTGATCTCTGAATGTTTTTTTTTTGTGATTTTTTGTTGATGTGATCTCCAAGCATATACAAACAATTTTGACAGTTTGGATCGTTGAAATTAGTTTTGGAGAATTCGTAAAACGATAGATTGACTAACACTTAGAGTTTATTTATATTTTCATTAAGTATAACATAAGATTTTGTGGTATCCACTTGTGTAAATATTTTAAATTGAAGATCGAATTCATTCATTGTATTCATATAGGGTCAAGGAGTGTAGTTATAAAAAATCATCAAAATCGGAGTTAAAATAACCGTTAAATCGTGATTTTTCGTTTATAACCGTTGAAAAGCTTTGTCCCGTTACTTGATCTCTGAATGTTTTTTTTTTGTGATTTTTTGCTGATGTGATCTCCAAGCATATACAAACAATTTTGACGGTTTGGATCATTGAAATTAGTTTTGGAGAATTTGTATGCCATCAATCAAGTTCCGTGTGTGTGTGTGTGTGTATATATATATTTATTAAGTAGATTTAAATCTATTTATTTTGTACGTATAAATTATAATTGACTGGTACACAGAATTATACATACATCACGTGTCACGTGTGTCATTATAAAAATAGTGAGATATGTCATGACAGTCATGTGTGTGATAAAAAGTTAATAACTTAAAAAAAAAAAAAATTCTCACCACTTCTATTAATTTTCATTTTTCTCTCTCTTTTTTGTTTCATTTTCAACTTTTTCTTATCATTCTCACTTTTCCCTCCAACATCTTTCCCTAATTCCCTCACTTTTTTGTTTCATTTTCAACTTTTCTTAACATTTTCATTTTCCCTCCATTTTTTTTTTCAAAAAGGGCGGCAAGTTGGCAACGGCAAGAAATTGATTATTGAAATTTGAATGGAAAGAAATCACATCAAATTTCAATGGATGCAAAATCATGCATATTAAATTATTAATTAATAATTATTATAGTTTTTATAAAATTTAATATATATATATATATATAATTATTATAGATAGACTTAATATTTTGGGGGTATAATTATTATAGTATATATAATTATTATAATTATTATAAATTTTATAGTTAATTTAATATATATATATATATATATTTATTATAATTTTTAGGGGTATAAAATTGTAAAATTAATGTATATAATTATTATAGTATTTTTTTAGGGTTATAAAATTATAAAAATAATATTCTGCTTATCGTGTATCGTGTTACCCACGTGTATACCCGAACCAACCCATTATCTTAACAGGTGCTTATCGGGTTACCCGATAACGACCCGATTCGTTATCGTGTCGACCCAAACACCTGTTAATTTCGTGTCGTGTCGTGTCGTGTCGGGTTATCGGGTCGTATCAGAAATTGACAGGCCTATATGTGCGTATAACTATTATGTTTATCACCATTCTCTGACGGTGTTTGTTGAATTGTTGCTACACAATCTCGGATGGTTCCAATGCTGGACATCAAAGAAATTTCGACCATTTTTTTCCTTTATTTATTTATTTATCTACATATTATTTTGGTTTGTTGAAATTTCGACTGTAGTTTGTTTTGTGCTGGACGTAAAAGGTTTTCTTTCGATGATTAGAGCAACTCCAGCGTGTGAAACCTCCTCCTAGGCAATACACTATGTTATCCACCTGGTAAACAGTAACTGCCCTAATGAATAGTAATCACCTTTTGCATCTCCACCATTGCACTTCAATAGCCCTGGCAATAGGCAATAAAATATTAGTATTTTTTTTATTTATAAAATAATACAAAATAATTTTAATTGTAATTTCGGATAAGATTTTTAATCGTTCTCGTTGCGCCACATGTCATTATCCGAAGTATTATTAAATAATACAAAATAAATTTATTTGTAATTTCGGATAAGATTTTTAATCGTTCTCATTGCGCTACGTGTCATTATCTGAAAATACAATTATTGGTGATGGATTTCTGATAAGATTATTAACCAATCACGTCGGGCCACGTGTCATAATCTGTTTATAATCTTTGAGGGTAGATTTCCATTAGATTTTTAACGAATGACGGCATGCCATGTGACATTATCTACAACCTAATCCTTTCTGAATCCTCCATATAATCCACGATCCATCCTCACAAATCTCACACCAATTTTCTCAAGATCTCTATCATTATTCATAGTTTCTACTTCCTTCTTCACAAAAATCTCTATCATTATTCATAGTTTCTGCTTCTTTCTTCCAATGTCTTCTTCTTCCTCAAGGATGATGTGGGAACTCGATCAGGAAGAGGAAGAATTGCTTAACGAATCAGAAGGAATGTTCAATCTCCAGGTGGAAAAAAATGAGAGGGATGAGGATGAGGAGCATAGAAGGAGAGATGACAAAGCAAGAATGGGCAGAGCCTCACATTCTCATCTAGTCATCCAAGTTGTGGCTCAGATTTGCAGGCCCAGCCGTTCCAGAAACATTGATAGAGCAGGCAACGACGAGGTACGAAACTCTTGGGTATAGTACAAACAAATAAATAATATATTGTTACCTGATCCGAGTAATTTTTCCCACTTCGAATATTAGCACTAGCTTGTGCCAAGGCGTCTCTCCACGTACTAAATGATTGGCTAAGTAATTTCCAACGATTGGACATCGATTCTTTAGTTCTTTTCCCACCAATTTTCTCAAGATAATTGGTATGAATAAGACTCCACATTTCTCGCAACTGCATCTCATTACCCGTAAGCCAACTATGAGTAACTTCATCCCAGCTAGTACACAACGCAACATCTTTAAGAAGCGACCAATTCGTACCTGCATCAGTAGTCATTTTGTTGAAAAAAAATGGATCGAAACTTTGAGAGAAAAAAAGGAATGTGATTGAAAGTAGTTGAGAAAATATGAAATTGTGGTGTAAGGTAGATGATAAGAGAAGGTATTTATAGAAAAGTAAAAACAATTTTTTAAAAAAAATTTTCAGATTTTTTTCGGATTTTTTTACAATTTTTTATTTATTTTTGTTCAACTAATTAATTTCTGCCGTTGGATATAAAAAAAGTTTGAATTCCAACACTCCAGATTGTGCCACGTGTCACAATGGTAACTTTTCTTAATTTTAAAACTATTTTTTCTTTTATTTATTTATTCATAAAGCCTATTTAATATTGACCGTTGATCTCAGATCTAACAGTTGATATTAAATACGTTTTTTTAATTTTTATTACCGTTGAGATCGAACGGTCCAAGTTAAAGAGTCGTTCAGATCGAATGCACCGCGGGCCCCTGTCGTCTGAAACTTGTCTGCTGACGCGCCCCCATGCGCGGGTGAGGCGCACGCATTTGACAGAATTTTTTTTAAAAAAGGGACTGACGCCAGCCTGACGCCAGCCTTGCGTCAGGTCCGCTCGCAGGCTGGCGATTCCTCACGGACCTGTTGCTCGGGCCTGCCCAGTCCCTCGGGCTCCCAACGCTGGAAGCTTGCAGCCGGGCTATGGAGCCCTGTTTGGTCCACTGTCCTCCGAGCAGTCCACAACGGTGGACTTGCTCTTATATATAGCGTCAGTAGTGGGTTTCTTTGGTTCATGTCGTACATGGTGGTTAACCATGTTTTTCACGGTGGATCACCTTCTTTGATTGGTGGAGCATGAGTTATAGCAGGGGGAGAGAAAGGGTTAATTGGTATTCTTCCTGTTCAAGATGCTGCCGAGGCAGCAACAGTGGACTCTGTGTTGTCTCTAGGTGATTTTTGCTTATTTCTCCATTTGTTACGGATGAGTGGATGCCTATGATTAAGTGAAAGTGAAATCTAAGAGGTTTTTTTATTATTATTGTTGGGAATTTGCCTAATTTCAGGAATGCGAAGTGATTCTGGTGAACGAAGCTATAGAGTTCAAGTTTGTACTCATCTCTCATTCTTCCTCTCTCTCCTTCTCTACTGGAAAATCCAGTCTTTCATCTTCCTCGGCTCTTCCTTTCTCTCCGCTCCCCGTATCTCTCTCCTTGGAGCCTACAAACCAAGTCGTGACGGTCGACAAGCTTCAAACATGCTGGACGCGTACTGGAGAAGGGACAGTTCTGTCCGTTGCGGAGACGGGGGAGTATGGGGGTAGGGGAGAGGATTTTCGGCAGGGAGATATGGGTTTAGGGAGAAAGAGTAAGGGAGAAGTATGGGGTAGGCTGATTTCCAGGGATTTCCTTTCACCCCTTCACTCACCACGAACCCATCTTTCTCTTCATTTCTCCCACCCTCAAATCTTCCGTTTTCCCTCTCGCAAAATACCCATCAAGGAAACCCTGCTTTTGGTTTATTTTGGGATTTTGTTTGTGCTCTCGATTTTCAGACGAGGGGCCAATTGGTTGAGGTTTGGAATTCTCCCCTTTTTGTCGAAGCGCACAAATTGTGTTTCAGTGGGATCGGTCTCGAATAGCTGCGTGCGTCTACTCTTTTCAAGGTATGGTGTTCGCCGATGGCATGTTTTAGCGTGTTTCTGTTTTTTTTTTTTTTTTTTTTTTCTTTGTTTTATATTTCTAATTTATCGTTTGCTGCTTGACAATGGTGATTGTAAGTTTTAGTTTGGATGTTTTTCTGATTTTGGGTTGGTCAGTGCGTTTGGGTTGCTTGAGAAAATGTGATCCCATGTTTTTTATTGAGTGAAATAATTAAGAGATAGAAAAGAGTGGAGAATTAGCGTCGAGAGTAGTGATGAAAAAAATGAGGAAAAAAAGATAGATGTGGAAGAAAGGGGGAGACTGGAAATTGAGGAAAGTGAAGAGAAAAAAAAAGGGGGTTAAGTGAGCAGCCAAAAGAGAAAAAATGAGGCAAAAAAGGCTTAATATGGGGAGTAGGCAGAAGAGAAAAGCAAGAGGGGGGAGACAGAACAGGAACAAGGTGTGGTTTTGTTGTTGGTTTTATCCAAATTTTTGATTTGGAATTTGATTTGAAGCTTATTTGTTATTAGTTTAGTCTAATTTAGTATTGGTTTATCTAGGTTTGTAGCTAATTTAATGTTAATGTTGATCTAGACGTTTTAATTTGTTGTGAACTTATATGGGTTTCGTTTTTTAATTGTTATTTTACAGTTGCTCGGGATGACTTTGGCTTTTATATTGGTTTGGGTAATTTTTTTTTTTAATTTCATTTGAAGATTTAGTGTCATTATACACCTTTGCACCACTGTTTGTTCTGCTTTTCTCGGTTTGTGTATATAGTTTGGGTAGAATTGGACTGTTCTTTTTTAACTTAATTAAAGTGTTTGAGACTTAATTGAATGAAAGTTTAGTTTGGTTTGGCCACGATGAGGTGTTTGGTGTTGGGTCTATGATCCTTTGGTCCAATGGAGATGTGTAATTCCCATTAAGCTTTAGGAAGTTTCGGGAATAAGGAAGATTTTTTCTATTGAGAGTGTTATTGTTATTGTGTTGCTTTTTCTTTTCGAATTTTGGTGGCTGGATTTTGAGATTTAGGTTGTGGGTGGGATTGAGTTTCAGATCCGGGCATGGGTGGGCAAACAGAGTTGCCCAGAAGCATGCTTGCAGACTTGCAATGCAAACATCGTATGCAGTTCTGGAAACGGGACTAGCAATCCCATGGTTTTTGAGGGGTTTCACTATGACAGGCTAATCCCATGGTTAGTCAAGATGAGTGAAGGTTAGTGTCATTAACGTTAGTCTCAGTGGGTAACAAATAGGGGACCGGACTAACACTTAGTCCAGTCCAATCCAATGAGAGTTAGCGAGGGCAAACAAACGCGCTCTCAGTGTTTATCCTGACTTAGTACACTCCATTTGTTTATTTAAATGCATATATCTAGGATATTTTCATAAGATGTCAATATGTAATTAAAGTTAAATAAAATTAAATGTATAATCTAAGGATTTATACGACAAATTTCTCATATAGGAATTAAAGTTATATATATGTAATTCTAAGGATTTATCTATATGAGCTATTAATCACTTGAACATATACCAGATTCAGTCAGCATGTATAATCTTAAAAAGTATTATTCCTAATTTCTTAATTGTTGAAAAATAAGGCCTTGTTTGGTCTCTAGGATTGGAATGGAATGGTTAAACTATTGTATTCATGGTATATTAAAGATAGAGGTGAATGCTTTTTCATATTGAGGGGATTAGAAGGGGGATAAGACATGATGGAAAATAACCCGTTCTGATCCTTACCATTTTGGCAAATTGGAATGGAAAATAATCCATCAAATCCATCTCCTACCTTCAAGTAACCCACAAATTTTTCATTTCTTTCGTCAACATTCCTTGAATATAGTGGGTTGTCCATTTCAATCCAATCTTAAAGACCAAATGAGGCCACAATTTTTTCATTTCTTTCCTGAACATACCTTGGATATAGGTCATATATATCAACATGCTTCAAATGTCTTAATTTACAACTTTCTTATGTTTACCACTTTTAAATATAGGTTACATGGCTTGATAACATTGCACATATGCACTGCACCGAACATAGATAAAAGTAGAAAGTTTCATGTCTGCACACGTGCTCCCTAAGCTGTTTTAGTGAAAAATTGCATGTCTGTACCTTTATTTCCTTCATTTATCTTCCTGTTTAAATTATGAGCCATGTATTAAATTTTCTCAACCTTTAAGATGTTTGCGGCTTCCTTACCATGATATTACACTTGGGGCTGCATGGCCTGAACTGTTCGTTGACCAAGGAAAATACTGGGATTTGCCTGTGTCAATTTCCTTAGATATGTCATCACTTGTTTCCGAATCTGGATTGCGGCACCGCATTGGTGTACATAAAAACATACAGGCAGTTAATTCCGTAGATTCTGCGCAAAGGCTGTCTTTTCTTATGGAAAAAGCCAAGGCAAAATGAGACACGAAAAGACATCATGATACATAAAGAAAAGGGTTGGTTTTGGCGGCCATCTTATGATGTGCGTCTTAAAAAACCCCATTCTTCAGTATCTAAAATTTTTGGTAATTTTACACGTTATTTATAATTTTTGTGATAACTTGTATTATCTCATTACATTTTTGTTGGAAGTTTCATACCAATACTTAGGTGCAATATTGTATAACTTTTAGCTTATACATTTGCCTTTTTTTATACATGTATACATGTTTTGGTACCTCTTAGTGTCACTTATATTGTATGTGTAGTTTTCTACTTTAGTATTAAACCCAGTACATGTAATGAGTATGTCACCTCCTTTCATCTGTTCCGTGGTCGTAGATGTGCCTGCAGTAGAAGAAACATCATAAATAATAGAAATAAAATATAATTCTAGAGACTAAAGTTCTAAAGGAACGATTCAATATTTTTGTTTTGTGTTTATGAGTCCAGGTTTGTTGCCGACAGTATGCAATCTCTTAGAGCACTTTCAGCGTTGGCTTTTGCTGGGGAACAGGCCAGCAAACAGGGCACGAAAGCTCGGCCTATTGACTCCAGTGTGTGGGAGCCCGAGGGATAGCGCAGGGCCCGAGCACCAGGCCTCTCACGAATTGCCAGCCCGCTAGCCCGAAGGCTATCTGATGCAAGGCTGACGTCAGCCAGGCGTCAAACCCTTTTTTTATTTTTTTCTATCAGGCACGTGCACTGTACCTGCGTGTGGGGGCATGTCACCTGACATGTTTTCAACGGATGGGGCCTGCGGTGCAGTTTCAAATTGTTACCGTTGGGAAGCCACGTGGCTTCCCATGGTTTGTTGGATCTCAACAACAAGAAAATGTGGACCGTCAGATTTGCAATGGTAAAAAACATAAAAAAATCTTATTTAATATCAACCGTTGGATCTGAGATCAATGGTTGATATTATTCTCCTTTATAAATATAAAAAAAAAAGGTTTTAAAATTCAGAAATGTTACCGTTGTGCCACATGGCACAATCTGGAGTGTTGGAATTCAATTTTTTAAAAATCCAACAGCAGAGATTAATTAGTTGAATAAAAAATTTTAAACAATTGTAAAAAATGAATAAAAATCCGAAAAAAATTTAAAATTTTTTTTTTTGTTTTTAACTTTTCTATAAATACCTTTTCATTATCATCAACCTTACACCACAGCTTCTATCAAGGTTTACAGAATGGCTGGGCTAGCATATCTGACCCACAGCTTGGATGACTCCATGGGAATGTGAGGCTCTGCCCATTCTTGCTTTGTCATATCTCCTTTTACGCTCCTCATCCTATTCTTTCTCATTTTGGGCCACCTGGAGATTGAATATTCCTTCTGATTGGTTAAACAATTCTTCCTCTTACTGATCGATTTCCCACATTATCCTTGAAGAAAAAGACATTGTAAAAATGAACCAGAAACTATGAATAATGATAGAGATATTGTTGACCGGTGCTTAGTAGTTTTGGGATTGGTCAAGTATAGTACAAAACAGTGCTCCCCTAACTTCCCGAGTGAGGGAAGCTCCTCAATTGGGGACTTGCAAGATCGAAGCCATTGAGTAATCATGAAACTTCCAAGTACCAAAGTATGGTGTCGCCTTCACTTGACTTCTCTGTCCTATAAGTAGATGTGGCATCTTCTCTTAGAAGTACTTTTCCTTCATCCAAGAGTGGTATCTTTAGTTGGCGTTGACGCACAAGGTAATGTATCATTTTCATTTGAAGCTTACTTGTAGTTTCGGGTTTGGTCAAGTGCGATACAAACCATATAGTAGGAGTCCCCCCAAGTCTCTAAGCGAGGAGATCTGCCGAAGGAGGTGACAAACAAGGTAAGCAATCAGGGTTCCAAGCAATCAGTCTCAGATCGGTAGGTTGATCTTGGGTTCCGGCTGATTGTACTCATTTTCCCTGTCTCTCATTCAGCAACAAAGATAAAGAGAAGAAACGGGAAGAAGGGATGATATGAGGTACTCTTGTTTTTGGAGAAGACGGACGAATCGGCATGTGCTTTGTTGTACTTGACTTTCCACAGGTGTATTCTTGAACTAGGCTGGAGGGTTTTCTGGTTTCCTCCAAAGGAGCGAGCCGACTCCAGAATTTGAGGGTCAAAACAAGTCCGTCAACCCTGGAGTATGTTCGAACCTGATGATATGGGATACTTTTGCTGTTTGACAAAGTAGTAGATGTGGTATGGCGAAGCTTTGTTCTTCGACAACGGTGTTAGCAAAAGGCTGTTGAGGCTTCTCGATCTCTTCAATTAGAGCAATGATGCCAAGCTTGGGTTTTTTATTTTGTTGAAGTTTGCATGTTGAAACTTCGTGGGTGGATCTTGTAGGTTGAAGTAGTGCTTCCTTAATTTCTTGAGTGAGGAAAACTTCTCGGTTGGGGACTTGAAAAATCCAAGGCACTGAGTAGTCGCGAAATTTCTGAGTACCAAGATGTAGTGGTATATGGTAGGAGTCCCCCAAGTCTCCGGTCGAGGGAGGTGTCTTGCTAGTAGGCAATTTTCCAAACAAAACTTCACCATTTTCCTTTCTAAGTGGTTGCCCAAAACTCCTCCTTCATATATATTTGGTATGAAAGTTGTAAGGCCCAAAGAAATGGAGGCCTAGGCTCATTTCTTTCTTTCCTTTTTTTTTTTTGTATTTTTCTTTTTTTTTTTTTGAATTTTCGATTTTTTTTTTTTTTTTGGGTGAAGCTTTGATGTAGAAGTTTTGGTGTTGAAGCTTTTGTGTTGAAAGTTTGGTGTTGAAGCTTTTGTGTTGAAGCTTTGTAGGTGAAATTTTTGTATTGAAGCTTTGTAGGTGAAGCTTTTGTATTGAAGCCTTGTAGGTGAAGCTCTTGTATTGAAGCTTTGTAGGTGAAGCTTTTGTGTTGAAGCTTTGTTAGGCACCATAAATTGATTTTGCTTCACACTATCTTGATCAAGATTGTGTG